CTTTCTTAAAATATATTTTTTACTTGTTCTAATTAGTTATACATGACTGTAGAATGCATTTTGACCCATCATATGTGAATGGAGTATAACTTCTCATTCGTCTGGTTATACATGATGTAGAGTTATACAGGTCATGTAATCATATATACACATAGGGTATTAATGTCAGATTCATTCTATTATCCTTCCTACCTCCATGTCCCCTCCCCTCCCTTCATTCCCCACTATCTAGTCCAAATTACCTCTATTCTACTCACTGCCCTTATTGTGAATTAGCATCCTCATATCAGAGAAACATTTGGCCTTTGGTTCTTTGGGATTGGCTTATTTTGCTTAGCATAATATTCTCCAGTTCCATTGATTTACTGAAAAATGCCATAAATTCTTCTTTAAGGCTGAGTAATATTCCATTGTGTATATATTCCATAGTTTCTTTATCCATTCATCTGTTGAAGAGCATCTAGTTTGGTTCCATAGTTCAGCTATTTTGAATTGTGCTACTATAAATATTGATATGGCTGTGTCACTGTAGTATTGCAGAGCTTCTTAACTGGTCTCCCTGCTTTTACTCTAGGTATTCCCCTGCACTCCCACCCCACCCCCAGTCTGTTGACAGCACAGTAGCTAGGGTGATCCTGCTTAAATGTGAGTCTGATCAAAGTCCTTTGGTAACTTTCCACTTTAAGTCCAAGGACATTTATCAGCATGGCCCTGCCCAATCTGCTCCCCTTACTTTCAGTTATTCTGGGTATTGTGGTCAAGAATTCAGACTTTGGAGCCATAATACCTGGATTCCAATCCTGCCTCTACCATTTACCAGTGGTGTGACATAGGACAAGCAACTTAAGTTAACTGTGCCTCCATTTCCTCATCTGCTAAATGTTAACAATCGTATCTACTGTATCTACTTCGTAGGGTTGTTTTGAACAGTAGATGACTTAATATATGCAAAGTACTTAGAACATTGTCTGGTCCATCATAGGTACTAAATAAGACTTTGTTAAACAACCATAAACCTCCTATCATTCTCACTCTTGCCCACACTTCCAGCCACACTGGCTTCTTTGCTGTTTCTTAATACAGTCCAATCTCAGCAAGTTTGGATTTACTGCTCCCTCTGCCTGGAACACTCTTCTCTAATGCCCCCCATGGCTTGCTCTCCATAATCTTGCACGTCTCTACGACTCTACGTACAAGTTACTTTTATCAGGGAGGCTACCCTTGACTAAACTCCTTCCCTTTATAAAATAGTAACATCCTACCACTCTGTCCAATTAGCTTAATTAATTTTTCTTTCATAGCACTTATCAACATTGGACTTATATTTATATGTTTATTTTCCTTCTTCATCAGCAAGAATGAAAGCTCCATGAGGACAGGGATTTGCTTGTCATGTTCACTGTTATTACCCCAGAACCTAGAATGTCATCTGGCACTTAATAGCTACCCATTAAACATTATATGAATGAAAGACAAAAGAAAAGGCATGAACACTGCCAAGGTACCATTTAAATAAAAAAATAAGTGATATCTAGATAAATATCAGAATATTCTAATAGTATAGATAGGAACAAAGGGAAAATAAAAGCATCTCCTACCCTCATCTGTTTCCCAAAGGTAACCATACTTGTGTGCATTTTTAAATTTCATTAATCGATAAGTACATTGGATGCATGCTATGTCTGCAGGAAAGTGAGGTTTGAGGTGTTTGGGGCATATAAATGCAGAGCCTTTACCTTCCAGGATCTCATAGTTTCTCTGGGGGAGAACATGAAGAAGTTTTTTTTTTTTTTTTTTAATTCTGCAGAATTTAGAAGTAGAAGTCATCACTGGGAGCTGTGAAGTCAGTAAAGGTTTCCTGCATAAGAAATGACTTGATGGGGTTTGGGCAGGTTTCATCAGAGAGAGGAGGAGTGTGGCTGAGGGATGTCTAGGTTGGGTAATGAAAGGGCTCCATAAGGAATGTATAGAAGTGGATCCTGGCTGAGGGTGAGGCAGAGGCTTTGTGTGCCGGAGCAGTAAGAGAAAGGACTGAGGCTGTTATAGGTGTACACTGCAGTGGTGCAATTATTAGGACTGATGATAGGATGAATTTTTTAAAATATTGTTTTTAGTTGTAGATGAACACACAGTGTCTATTTATTTTTATGTGGTGCTGAGGATCGAGCCCAGTGCCTCACACATGTGAGGCAAGTGCTTTACTACTGAGCTACAGCCCCAGCCCAGGATGAATATTTTGAGGTGAGGAATGGCAAAGGCTGAAATATGACACCCATGATTTTGAGACTGGGAGAAATGATGATTACATTACCCAAAATATGAAAGTCAGGAGGAAAAATTGTTTGAGAGTGTGGTGTGGTGTTAGGAAGTGGTGAGAGGACAAATTGTTCAGCATTTTCTTGAATATGAGGACTGCCTTTGTATTCCTTAAGAGTGCCCACAGGAGCTAGAACTCAATTCTGCATACAGTAGATGCTAAATGAAAGTTATCCGTGGAGATCACTACTAGTCATCTTGATGGCAAACTCTCTTCCTCCTCTCACATAAATTCAGAGAGTCCTTTGGATCCCTATTCCTTCTCAACTCAGATTTATAGATATTTATCATCATCATTTCCATACCAATTCCTACTAATTGAAAGCACATCTCTGAAGAATTTGACTTCCTTGCTTCTTTCTTTACTTCAGGTTCTTCCTGCTGATCAGCTATCCCACTTTTCTCTGGGCTTGGCAATTTTAGCACTGATAGTTGGGAGTGCCAGGAAACCCCTCAGTTTCAGGCAAACTGAGATAGTTTTCAGTACTCCCAGATTCAGAATACTTCAGCTGAATCTGCTGGTAGGATAGTAGTAGACTTCTCATATTATCAGTCTAAACTGTCCTTCCCTTTGGTTGGTGTTTTCTTTATTTGCTCCATCTTCTTTCCAGATGTTGATGATTGAGCCCTGGCATATAGCCCTCTTATTTCACAGTCAACTGAAGAAACCAGCAAGATAATGCTATGTGGTAGCTTACTACCTTGCAATGGCCACTTCAACCCTACCAACTAAGCAACCTGAGATTCCTAGGAGCAGATAAAACTCAAATGCAATCTGTCACTGTTTAATTTTCATTGCCAAGATAATTCTTCAAAGTTAATGAATAGCTGGGTGGGAGTGGGGGAAGGAGAAGGACAGTCCCTGTTCTGGTTCTTGGCAGGATATTGGTTACAGATTATAATCAACCACAATGCTTTTATGAAGGGCTTACTATCTGGTGCTCTGAGCTAGGCCTATACAGAGAACTAGAGTTCTGAACCTTCATTTTGAAAACATTGTGGTCCAAGAACACATAATCCTGGGCACACATGAAAGATGGACTCAAATCTTCAATATGGTTTAAATCACACATTATATGTCACCATTTCTTTTACTGATTCCTGGATATTTCTGGGGTGAAATACATAAAGCAGAAATATATATTTACCCCTCATATCATTAGCTCTTTAAATGCAGAGTACCCACTCTTATAGTTCTTTCTACAGAACTTAGCTGAAGAGGACAGAGTTAGGGCAAAAAAGTGAAGAAGATATATATAGATACTCAGTAAGGACTGATCAAATGGATGTGGTCTGATGGGTGTTACCACTGTATACCAGTGAGGAGTCCTTGCTTCTCCCAATGCTGAAGTATAACACCAGAGAAGCAAGCTGAGGCAAATGTAGAGAGGAAAGTGGAAGGCTTTATTAAAGGACAGCAGAAAAGGCTTCTCCCCGGACCTGAAAGACAGAATCCATGGAAGGGGGAAGTCTTCCCTTTTTTATAGCTAATGTCTTCTTTTAGTCTTTCCACATTCATGTCTTTTGTTTCCCTTTATCCTGCAGTGATAGAATGCAGGTGGGAAGTCCAAAAGGTGGGAGACAGGTGGACTATTTCATGGGCAGAAAGGGCCTGGGTTAGATTGATTAACACTTCCCTGTTTGCTGGAAGCTCATTTATTAACAGTTTCTTAGGATGAGCTCTGGGCCTTGGGGACAGTAACATTTCAATTTCCCCAAGTGCTGCTCAGCTTTCCTGGACTCTATTCTCGATAATGGTCTCCATTTTTTAAACATACTTGATATTAGACCCGATTTACCTAACTATACTAACTACCTATCTTTAAATCTGGCTTCATGGGTACAAAGTACCTTTCAAGCTAGTCATTTGAACCTCAATTTCTTTCTCTATAAAATGGGGATAGTGATTGCATCTACTTCATGGGGTTGTAAGGTTGGAGAAACTATATGTAAATTGCTTAGCTCATCTAGTATCTTTTAGCTGGTTGTCTGCCCAATTGGGAGCTATTAACAATATTAATTTCTACCTCCTGTTCCACTAAGAGAAAGATTATGGTAAAATGTAAGCGTTGGAGCTCTGACAACAACCTGCGGGTGTTGAATTCAGACTATGGAGGCACACTGTAGGTTACCTATATATTAGGATTTGAGGGATAACAAAAACTTGATTCTCCCACTTATCTTCTTCACTTTTTTGCCCTAACTCCGGAAAATGAATGCTTTGATGGAACTTTATTTGAGCAACTGACTGGGATTGAAGACCCAAGTGGGGCTTTAGACCAGGAATAAAGCCGCATCAAGTACCTTGTTCAACCTTCATTTAGCAAAAATTTAGTACTAAATCAATCAGTGCCTGGAATTGTGTAAGAGCTGGAGGGTCCTGTAACGGACCAAGCTTGTAAACCCCAGCTTCGCATCAAAGAGGGAAGTTGCGATGAACTAGAAAAAATCTCTCGAGAGGAACGAACGCCACCAAGCGTGGAGATCCGCTTTCGCGTTACTGCACAGGCGCCGCGGTTTTCGGCCGCCTCTGCTGAACTCTTCCGGCGCCAGTTCCGCAAACTCGAACGCGCCGCCCAGGGGGTGGGGGGCACTGTGCTTGCTCTAGAGCGGCGCAGGCGCCAAGTCCTAGATAGGCGCATGCGCTAGAGATGCGCATGCTCTACAGAGTGTAGCTTTGCCCGGAAGTTAATCCGCCGGTGTCGAGCGCGAATTTGTGAAGATGAAGTAAGGTTTCAGCTTTACTCTCAGAAAGAGGGAGTGGGTTGCCGCGGGTGGCCCACCGGGGCTGGGACGGTAGAGTGAGTGGCTGCAGGGCCGAGGGGCAGGAGAGTTTCAGAGGAGACTAGAGCTTCTAGTCGCCTAGTTTTGCTCTCTGTGAATTCGGGCCGGACCAAACTTACTTTCCTTTTCCGCCCTCCGTGTAGTCCTTTAACTAAAGTGAAGCTGATCAACGAGCTGAACGAGCGAGAGGTCCAGCTTGGGGTGGCGGATAAGGTGTCCTGGCACTCCGAGTACAAAGACAGCGCCTGGATCTTTCTGGGTGAGCTTCACATTTTTCTGGGAGTCTCTCCTGGCCGGCTTCTGATCTTTTCAGCAGTCCTGCCCAATGTTTCTCCTCACACTCATCACCCACTCTTTGTAAAAAAAAAAAAATATTTTTTAGTTGTAGTTGGACACAATACCTTTATTTTTTATATTTATTTTTTAGTTGTAGTTGGACACAATACCTTTATTTTATTTATTTATTATTATGTGCTGCTGAAGATCGAACCCAGGGCCTCACGTGTGCTAGGCGAGGACTTTACCACTGAGCCCCAGTCCCTCATCACCCACTCTTATGTTCTGCCTGTCTGTGAATCCGTTTTCCATCTTTTCTCACTCATTTTAGTGTGCTTTCCCTGCCAGTCAGTGTTCCTGTGAGTTACCACTTGCGCTTCACAGTGCTAAGTCCTGCCACTTGGTTTCTCAGAAACAGTTATGTTCCTCACACCCACCCGCTAGACAGCTGAGGAAACTGAGGTACAGAAAAGTTAACGGAAAAGGAATTGGGCAATGCAAATGAGAAGGCAGCCATGGTAGAGAGTTTGGGTGGTACACCCAGGCTATTTCGTTCAACTTCTGAGTGCTGGAAAGTGCACAGAAGGTGTAGCCTTTAATCAGTAATTCTGCAGTTTTAGTCTTATGAGAGGTTATTGCATCAGACATTGTGCTAAGCACTTTATATGCATTGTTTTATTTAATTCTTGTAACAGTGATCTCATGAGGCAAGTATACTTCTCATTTTACAGATGAGTAAAACATTTGGAGGGGAAATGATTTCCTGTGAAATGCTTAACAGTTATCTTTATGATCCTTATTATATGTATAGGTGAGTTGGTAATGACACATTTAAGCTGATATTTGTGGAAGCAGAGTTTTGTGATGGAGATATCAGCTTTGTAGGACTTTGGATGTGAGGAGGAAAGAATGATGAGATTAGTTTGGTCTGCAGTGACCTGAGCCTTTCCACTCAATCACTTTTTTTTTTTTCTGTACATTTGGCACCTTGTATATATTTGTGTCATTCCATCAGACTGTTTTGCTGTGAGGGGAAGGTGTATAGCCTATGTTTTGTACCTCTGGTGCCTGGCCTAGTGCATAATACACAGTAAATACTTGGTTAGTGTTTGTTGAACTGTAATGTGTTTTTCTTTTCTAGGAGGGCTTCCTTATGAACTGACTGAAGGAGACATCATCTGTGTGTTCTCACAGTAAGTCCTCTTTCATTTCCTGCCTCCTGTGTTGACAGTAGTTTGATTCTGCAGTGCAATTCGTGGCATTAGAAAGCCACATTTTAATTCTAGGCTCAATGACATCCCTGCTTGGGGAAGACTGCAGCTTCTGCTCTACTCTTGATCTGTCCCAGGATACGGTTTTAAGTATATTCTCATGTGGAAGATCTCACAAGTTGGATAATTTGGGAGACTGTCTTAGGGATTCTGGTCTGTTTCTGTTACTTTTTCACTGACCCTTGTCAGCCAGGTTTTACCCAAATATAGTGTGGAACTCCTGGGAAGATATTAGGTTGGCTACCTCCTTTGGATTCTGAAAACTAGTATCCCATGATCACAGGGCCCTCTGGGCCCTTACCTGTGTGCTATTGAAGGATTAGGGCAAAGCACAGAGGAAATGGGGGACAGAACCCAGAAAGTTTATGTGGTAGTTTGCTTTCTTCATTTCTAGATGAATGTGAAATTAGTGAACAGAGCCATTCTTTTTTTACCCAGGGACTGAAAGTCACAGGCTGATGAGGAACAAACTAAGAGATCTGTTCTTGGTAGGAGAGGATGTTGGCAGCTCATAATGATAGTGCCACCTGGTAGGGAGGCTGGGCAATTGACACACAACCGAGAGTTAAACAGAGGCTGGGCAGTCCACAGGGTTAGAGGGCCTTTGCAACTCTTAAGAGCAGAGGGTCACTGCCTTTTTAAAAAAGATTTTTAAACCAGCATTTATTTTTTAATTAGCATCCAGTAATTGTACATATTTGTGAAGTATAGTGCAATAGTTGATACATGCCTTTGGGTTTTGTAGCTTTCAGAGGCAGAGAACTGTTTTCAGAGAAGTTGGATATCTAGTAAAGGTAGAAAGGATGGGGCAAGCAAACACAGGCAGCATATCCTGGCAGAAGGCTTGCCATAGCAGGATAGTTGGATTATCTGTAGGGCCCTGGTTGAGTGGTTGGGCAGTTTATGGGGAAACAGGCCAGGGAAAAGGAATTGGGCAATACAAATGAGAAGGCAGCCATAGTAGAGAGTCTGGGTGGTACACCCAGGCTATTTCATTCAACTTCTGAGTGCTGGAAAGTTCATAGCAGGTGTAGCCTTTAATTTCCACACTTTTGTGGTACTTTACTGGATCCAGCCTCCCATCTTAGAGCTGGTTCAGTGTTGCTTGCAATGAGTAGTGATGAGCTATTGTGTGTGTGTATGTGCATGTGTGTGTGCGTGCACGTGTACACGCGTGTGTGGTGTATTATAATTCTGTATTCTGGCCACACAAAATGAAGATTGCCTTTGCCACTGGTAACAAGGACTTGCAAGTGAAAGGCTCCAGCTTTCATTCGCAGCACCACAAATAAATCAAAACAAAAAAGAGCATTATGGGAAAAAAGTATAAAGAAGAATGTACAATGCACTTTTTTTATTATTTGTTCTTTTTAGATATACATAACAGTAAGGTGTATTTTGGCATATTATACATGCATGGAGTATAGCTTATTCCAATTAGGATCCTATTCTTGTGGTTGCACATGATGTGGAGTTACCCTGGTTGTGTATTCATATACAAGGATAGGAAAATTATGTCTGAATAATTCCTCTCCCCTCTCTTCCTTTCATTCCCCTTTGTCTAATCCAGTGGACTTCTATTCTTCCCCTTCCCACCATCCCTTGTTATGGGTTAGCATCCACATATCAGAGAGAACATTCAATCTTTGGTTTTTCGGAGACTGGCTTATTTCAACAGAATGCACTTTAAAAGGAAAAACTTAAAATTTGGACTGTTTCTTTATCATCTTGTTTTAATTAATGTTGGACATTATTTCCAATTGTTTGCTATTATAAATTTATATTGCAATATACAATGTAGTGTATAAATCTTTGTATGCATCCCTGATGGTTTCCTTAGTGAAGGAGGGGTGTGAATCAATATGCTAGTATTTTTAAGATGCTTTATAAACATTGCAAATTGTTCTGAAAAGGTTGTACCAATTTCCACTCTAATACCAATTTTCACTAGACAGCCCATTTTTCTGAATCCTAAGCAATGATGGTTATGCAAAAAAAAATTGCCAAATGGTTTCTCATTATCATTTTACTTTGCCTTTATTTCATCATCAATGAGGTTAAACATATTTTCAGCCCATTATTATTTCTTTCTTTCTTTTATTTTTATTTTTTGGTAAAAGAAATTGAATGCAGGGGTGTTTAACCACTGAGCCACATCCCCAGTCCTTTTTTAAAAGTTTGCAAATAGGGCCTTGCTAAGTTGCTGAGGCTGGCTTTGAACTTGTGATCCTCCTGCTTCAGCCTCCTGAGCTGCTGGGATTACAGGTTGTACCGCCTTGCCCGGCAGTCCATTATTATTTCTTTGTAAATTGTTTACTCATATCACTTATTGGGTCTTTTTTCTTGTGTTTCTCCTTCTCTTGTTGATTTTATGAGAGTCTTTATGCATTAAGGATATTAGCCTTTTGTTATAATACTTGTCATGGATCACTGTGGATTTAATTTTTAAAATATTTGATGTTGTGTTACTATCTTTATTCTTTCCTGATGCACAAATTGTCCCAATTTGAGTCAGTAGGATTCCTGTCAAGCCAGCTCTTATCTTTCTTTTTAAATTTTGAAATAATTTTAGGCTTAAAATAAAAAAATTATAAAATAGAGTACAGAATACTTATATTTCCTTCACCCATATTCCCAAGGTCTTAGCACTTTATCCACATTAGCTTTATCATTATTTTTTCTCATATGTAGATATTATTTTTTTTTTATGAAGCATTTAAGTCAGTTGCAGATACGATGCATCTGTCCCTAAAATCCTCAATGTCCTTCCCCTAAACAAGGACATTCTTTTGTGTAAACTTAGTATAGTCATGAAATTCAGGAAATCAGTACTAATATAATATCATCACCTAATCTATAGACTTTATTCAGCTTCACTAGTTGTTCTGATAATGTCTTTCCTTTTTTTTTTTTGTACTGGAGATTGAACGCAGGGCCTCACACATGCTCGGCAAGCACTCTACCACTGAGTTCTTCCCTGTTCTGATAATTTCTTTTTAGAGAAAAGAAAAATTGCTTTCTGTCCTTTACTTGTGATATACATTATAAATATTTTCACCTAGTTTGTCATTTGTCTTTTGACTTTACTTAATGGGTATTTCTTTGCTGGGCAAAGTTATTTTATACATTCATTCATTAATATGTTTAAATTAGCATATGGTAAAATTGATTTTTGAGAAATATGTAGCTGTATGAGTTTTAATACATGTATAGATTTGTATAAACATCCCCACAATTAGAACAGTTTCATCACTCCCAAAACTCCATTGTGCTTACCCATTAGTATTTTATTTTTCTGTGGTCAAATTCATCAGTCTGTTTTTTATTGCTTCTGGATTTTGAGTCATAATTAGAAAGTATTTCTCTCCACTCACCCATCTGTGTTATTACTGTCTTGTTATTTTATGGTTTCGGTTTTTTACATTTATATCTCTAATCCACTTAGAGTTTATTTTGTTGTACAATGTGAAGTTTGGATCCAGTGGATTTGTGTATGTGTGTGTGTGGTGTGTGTGTATGTGCATGTGTCTCTGGGGATGGAACCAGAACCTCATGCATGCTAGGCAAGCACTCTATTACCGAGCTGTAGTCTAGATCTGGATCCAGTTTTATACTTTTTAAAATGGATATCCAGTTGTACTTACCTCATTACTAATACATCCATATTTTCCCCAGAAAATCGGATGCCACCATCATAGACAATTTTTTTCATATACACTTGGTGTGGCTCTACATTCTGTTCTGTTGGTTTGTCTGCCTTTCCATTGGTCAGAGCCACACTAGTTATTCACAAGTTTTTCAGTATGCTTTGTAGAGTTACTCATGCTCATGACTCATTCTTTTTTTTTTTAGGTTTTCCTAGCCATTCTTACATGTTCATTTTTTCCCCAGAAGAACTTTAGAATAGACTTACGCAATCCCCGCCACCAGGGTGGCAAACTTTTGTTTTTATGTTATTACACTTAATTTATATATTAAGTTGGGGGAAGATTTTGATTATCAACTCATCCTGTCCAAGAACAAGGGATGTCCTTATATTTGTTCAAAATATGTTTGTGTTTTTTGGGAGTTTTTAAAAAAATTTTTATATATGTTTTGTACGTTGCTTGTTGTTAAGTGTATTTCTAAGTATTTTTTTGTTGCTATTATAAATGGTATTTCCCTGCCAGTATATCTTCTGATTATTGTTTCATGTAAGAGAATGATTGACTTTCAGCTGTATCCTCTTACTTTACTGAATTGTTATACTGTTTTTCTCATTGTTTATTTTTTAAATTTTTTTAGTTGTAGTTGAACACATTACCTTTATTTTTTATTTATTTATTTTTATGTGGTGTTGAGGATTGAACCCAGCACCTCACATGTGCTAGGTGAGCACTCTACCGCTGAGTCACAACCTTAGCCCCTCGTAGTTCATTATTGATTGTTTGATTTCCTATATATACTATCATATGTAATCTGCAAACAGAGATAGTTTTGTTTTTGTTTTTGTTTTTCCAGTTCTTGTATTGGTTTTATCTATTTGCATTGACCTGTACTGCTAGATATTTACTGCTAGATAGCTCTCAGCTTTAACTGAATCACCTCTGGTGTTTTCCTTAAAAAAGGTACTAGATTTTGGACTGAGATGTATAGATGTGTTCATGTAATGCTTCCATCGATTCCTATTATATTTTATGATTTTACTTTTAATTTTTTTCCTGAACACATTATTATTTCATTTCCAGTAAAGAAAAATTTATACACAGCAGAATGCCCAAATCTCAAGCATGCATACATACACACAAGCACATATCTATTCCCTCAGCTATTTCTGTGATTTTATTTTTTAATTTATAAACGTTTAACTTATCTGGAATTTTAAGGTTACAAATTTTCCCAAGTATGGCCTTAGTCACATCCCATAAATTTTAGTACATATTTTTCTATTTTTGTTCTTTTCTAAATAGTCTATCACTGATCACTTTTCTTTATTTTATCTTTGTTTTATCTAGTTGTTAGCTGGGAGAGTATGTTTCAAGTTCTAGTTAGTAGACTGGTTTTTTTTTAAAATATTATTTCCAGCTTTATAACATTATCTTTGGAGAATATAGTCTATTCTGGTTTTTGGAGTTTATTGAGATTTACTTTGGTACCTGATCTACAGCTAGTTTTATTATATATTTCATGAATGCTATAAAAGAAATTGTAATCTCTTTATAGGATTCAAATATATCTGTGTCTACTACTCTGGAAGTATTTGTTAGATTTATTGTCATGTTTTATTTGCATTTGTATCATATAAATTCATGTTAATTTCTTTGGTCTTATTTATTTCTGTCACTTGTTATAAACTTGAAAAAGTTTTTAAATCTCCCCTAACTTTCTTTGTATTTCTAACTTTTTTTTTTTTTTTTTTTTTTGGTCCTGGGGATCGAACCCAAGGCTCTGTGCATTTGAGGCTCAAACAATTTTTAATTAAAATTTTAATTTCTTAATTGTGGCATAATTTCATTAGCTATACCTATATATTAGGACCTTTTAAAATATAAAATAACCCTCTTAAGTCCCGCTTAATTTTGACCTTGAATTTCATGTCTTCACTCTTTTTTTAATATTTATTTTTTAGTTATAGTTGAACACAATACCTTTTTTTATTTAGTTAGTTTTTATTTTTATGTAGTGCTGAGGATCGAACTCAGGGCCTCGCACATGCTAGCGAGTGCTGTACTGCTGAGCCACAACCCCAGCTCCATGTCTTTACTCTTAATATTTCCACCCATGTTTTCAATTGGATAATCTTTCTGTATCCTTGTTTTTAACATTTTATTTTCAACCTTTTTAAGTCATCTTTTTCTAAATATATCTCCTATACTGTCCATATTATTTGACTATTGTTTTGTGATTCAATCAAAGTTTTGCATTTTAAATCAATAGTGTCTTATTCTTTTGTAAAATAAACAGATATGGGGAGATTGTTAACATTAATCTTGTGCGAGACAAGAAGACTGGGAAATCCAAAGGGTTTTGTTTCCTCTGCTATGAAGACCAAAGGAGCACAGTTCTGGCTGTTGACAATTTTAATGGGATCAAGGTAAGCATTTTATTTATTTATTGTTTTTTAGTTGTAGTTAGACACAATACCTTCATTTATTTATTTATTTTTATGTAGTGCTGAGGATTGAACCCAGTGCCTTGCAGGTATTAGGCAAGTTCTCTATTGCTTAGCCACAACCCCAGCCCCTAAATGTGCTTATTAAGCAAGATTTGGCTGAACTTTTCCTGGGTGTAGGGGTTGGATTTCATTCTCCATCTGATCCCCACAGGTTCAGGGATGTACTGATTGGTTGGGTGTGTTAGGAGGGCTGTAGAGCTACCAGCTAGGAAGTGATTCTAGGAAATATTCTGTTGGCTCATGGTTCTGCCAGGACTCGTTCTTTTTTTCCGTTAACAAGCCAAACCATGGGTGTTACACACCCCCACACTCAGGCTTCTATTTTTCACCTTTCCCTTCTTGTCCTCCACCTTCATCTCTAGTGTACTAGAGAATGAAGAGACAAGGTAATGCTGCTCTTCCATATTGTCCTGTGCTGAGGGACTTGGAGCTCTATCAGGGCTTCATGGCCTAGGATATAGGTGTGCATGTCTGTCATGTGACACTACTGACCTAGCATATTGGGCCCTGGGGGGAAAAAATCTCCTTTTAATCTCATAACAAATTGTACAAAAGTCAGTCAGTATGAAATTTTAAGAGAGCCAGGAATCATAGGGAGTCACTGTGTCAGGAAAGTTTTCAAAAATGTTTCAAAATGGGAATCTGATAGATAATAGAAGCTTCTCAGGCTTAAAAGATATGAAAATCTCTCTTGTGTTGGAACAGTAAGAGCCAAACTTCAAATTTCAGTTGTCTTTGCCTGTGGAAAAAATATGTATCTGCTTGAAAATAGGATTTTACATGAAGGATTAATTTTGTCATTCTTTGCCTGGAGTCGTGGTCCTTGGCCCAATTGTGAGCTGTGTTCCAGTATGGTATGGGTAAAACAAGGTGTGAGGGCTTAAGAAAAAAGAAAGTAATCTTTTTTTGGTCAATTTCCTGCCCCCACCCCCAACAGTTGATCTCACTTTGCCTTCTACCTACTGTGTTAAGAAAGCAGCTATAGCATTAAGCTAGATTTCAGGAATTCCATCTAGCTGCAATGCTTGTCTAGTTTATGTTTCACTATAGACTGTTATAAGTTGGGGGTAATTCATTGTGTTTCTAAATTCTCATAGTCTTCCCCAACACTTGTGCTTTAGGGCAGTACTTCCCAGGGTTTTTTCACTTCATGGTACACATAATTATAATTATACATTATAATTCTATAAATGTATTGTTTGCATGAAGATATTTGTATGGCACCCTGTGGTAAGCCAGTGAGGCTGCTGGTGCAACTGCCCCCGCCCCTGCTGCAACACACCCTACCTAGCTTCTGAGATCATTGAGTGTATTAATATCTAATACATGTGCTGTGACATACCAGTTGAGCAGTTCTGCTTTAGTGGTTTCCCCAGAAACAAAAGTAGCAAAAAGGTAATGATATAATTCAAACCATTGTTCTTCATGGCTTGGGCTCAAATAGATTGTTTGATATGAGGGCTGTCTTTGCTGAAGCATTGCCTTTCTTGCTTAGATAAAAGGAAGAACTATTCGTGTGGATCATGTGTCTAACTATCGGGCTCCTAAGGACTCAGAAGAAGCAGATGATGTGACCAAAGAACTCCAGGAGAAGGGCTGTGGGGCTAACACCCCCTCATCGAGTTCATCTGAGAGTTTAGAAGATGACAAACCCACAAAGCACAAAAAAGGTGAAGCATTGAAACCCAAAAGAAGATTCTAGGTAGTCTTAGTGTCTGATCTCCCTAGCATTCATGGATAGTCAATAATTAGCTCTTAAGTGTGAAGAGGAAGATGTGGGGTTTCTTATTTTTACTGGGAAAGGGGAGGTATCAGTAGAATAGTGGTATGGAAAGAATTGTGTCCCCCCCAAATTGATATGTTGAGTTCTTAACCACCAGTACCTCAAAATGTGACTGTATTTGGAGACATGGTCTTGAAAGAGAATTCAGAGTGAGGATTGCCTTGTATAGGAAGTTGACCTGTCAGTGGCCACATATGTCCAAAATTACTTCTTAGGGGCACTGAAAGCATAGCCTGTGACTGCTTCATCCTGCTGTTATGAATGTTTTCCTGATGCACATTTTCTATCTGTTAGTATGTGAAGATTTTAACTATAACAACTTGGTTTGATGTGATGTACTCAGAACAAATGCACTTTTTTAGGGGAGTTTATATTTTTCTCTTTTCTTACTGATTGCCTTCCTTTTTCCTCCAGAGAAAAAGGAGAAAAAGAAAAGAAAGAAAGACAAAGAGAAGACTGACAGGGAGGTAAAAGCAGAGCAGCCATCTTCTTCATCTCTCGGAAGCAAGACAATAAAAGAAAAGGATGACCCTGCCCCTAAGAAACACAGCAGTAAGAACTCAGAGAAGGTTCAGAAGTCTGAATCCAGAGAGGGACAGAAGCACTACCCACGCTCCCCTGATGTCAAGACTTCCTGCCATGTTAGAGCAGAGGGCCCAGAGAGGGAGCTCAAGAAGGAGAAACCCAAGTATGAGCACAAGCCCTCAAGCAAGAAGGAGGCAAGAAAAGACAAGAATAGGAATAGGGATAGAGGGCGAAGCTCAGACACACATTCTAGCCGTCACAGTGGGCATTCTGAAGGGTGGAGTCACAGAAGTAGAAGTAGGAGCCATGGGCGTTCTGAAAGGTGGCATCACAGAAGTAGAAGTAGGAGCCAAGGGCATTCTGAAAGGTGGCATCACAGGAGTAGAAGTAGGAGCCATGTGTATCCTGAAAGGTGGAGTCACAGGAGTAGAAGTAGGAGCCGAGTGTATCCTGAAAGGTGGAGTCACAGGAGTAGAAGTAGGAGCCATGGGCATTCTGGAAGGCGGAGTCACAGAAGTAGAAGTAGTAGTCAAGATAAATCCCGTAGACATAAAAAGGCCCAGCACTCCCGGGAGCGGGAGACTTCCAATCCCAGTGAGCATAGGCGATACTGAAGCCTGTTCCAACTGCCCGGTTAATTGAAAAATGAATTGTTTTTAAAAAACGTAATCAGATTCAGTTCTGCTGTTAATATTTCCATATATAAAATCTCTGTGACTGAGTTCTTTTAATCCCTTCATAGTAGATTCGTTAAGAAAGTTGTAATTTCAACAGCCAGTTATCCCAAATTTTTTGGTACTGTCCATTGTCCCTGGGAATATACTTGGTACTTCATCAGAGTATGTGCCCTGAATTTTAGTTCATAAATATTAACCTATAGACCCCAATTTGAGGTGAAATTGCCAGAAAGGGAGAATACCAGATAATTCTATAAATGTATTGTTTGCGGTAGGTGGTATTTAGAGCCCGGGAATATAGGACCACCTCAGTGGCACATGGAATTATATAAAACTATATATAACTATTTAGCTATTGTGAATTGACTGCTATAAACATTGATGTGGCTGTGTCACTCTAATATGCTGATTTTAAGTCCTGTGGGTATAAACCTAGGGGTGGGATAGCTGGGTCAAATGGTGGTTCCATTCCACATTTTTTGAGGTATCTCCATACTGCTTTCCAGTGTGGTTGTGCCAATTTGCAGGTCTACCAGCAATGTATGAGTGTGCCTTTTCCCCTACATCCTCACCAACATTTATTGTTGTGGCTTTATAGGGATTGGTAGGATTCCTAAAATTAGCCAGTTCCCTCCCCAGCTTTCCCTTGAAAACCAGTTTTTAAATACCTTTTTTTAATTTTTATTTTTGTGGTTGATATATCTCTGCATCTTTTTCCTTACCATTTATTTATTTATTTATTTGTATTAAGATGAAATTCATCACATAACATGAAAAATGAACTATTTTAAACAATTCAGTGGCATTTGGTACATTCACAGTGTTGTACAATTGCCAGCTCTGTCTAGTTCCAAAACATTTTTATTACCCCCAAATGAAACCTTTTACCCTTAAGCAATAACTCTTCATTTCCTCCCTTTCCCAGTCCTTGGCAACCATAAGTCTGCTTTCTGTTTCTATAAATTTACCTCTTCTGGCTATTTAAAGTGAAACCATGTAACAGTGGTGTTTTGTGTCTGGCTTCTTTAACGTAGTATAATGTTTTCAAGGTTTGGCCATATCATAGCATGTGTCAGTACTTTTTTTTTTTTTTTTTCGAGATGGGATCTTCCTGTGTTGTCTAGGCTGATCTCTTAATTCATGGGCTTAAGTGATTCTCTCACCTCAGCCTCCCAGGTTCCTGGGATTGCAGGTATGTACCACCATGCCTGGCTCACACTTCATTCCTTTTTATGGCTGCATAATATCCCATTGTATAGATATATCACATTTTGTTTATGGATGGATTTTTGAGTTGTTTGTACCTTTTGGCTAGTCAGTTCCCTTTTTGTGTTCCAGTTATATAAGGCTTCCTTCTGGGCCTACTTCAGTTTTCAAGTAGCAGTTCTTGCTGCAGTGGGAACACTTGTCAGTCCTGGTGGTCTTAGCAGTTCCTTCTCATTGTTAGTCTTAGTTTTCTTATCAGTCCTTATCAGTTCCTTGGGAGGAACAGGTTCACAGGATCTTTAATGCTTGTGCTCCATTGTTAAAATTGAATTTCTCTTCTTTGAAATCCTGAGCTCATTTTCAACCTCTTTTCTTTTTTAAAAAATTCTTGTTTTTAGATATATACATGACAGCAGAGTGTATTTTGACATAGTGTACATACATGGAGTACAACCCATTCTAATTAGGATCCCATTCTTATGATTGTACATAATGTGGAGTTAGAGTGGTCATGTATTCATTTATGAACAAAGGAAAGTTACGTCTGATTCATTCTGTCTTTCCTATTCCCTTACCCCTTCCCTTTCCTTCATTCCCCTTTATCTAATGCAATGAACTTCTGTTCTTCTGCTCCCTACCCTCCCTTGTTGTGGGTTAATATCTACATATCAGAGAGAACATTCGGACTCTGGTTTTCTGGGATTGGCTTATTTCACTTAGCATGATATGCTCCAGTTCCATCCATTTACTGCCAAATGCCATAATTTCATTCTTCTTTAAGGCTGAGTAATATTCCATTGTGTATATATGCCACATTTTCTTTATCCATTCATCTGTTGAGGGGCATCTAGGTTGGTTACGTAGTTTAGCTATTGTAAATGGAGCTGCTGTAAACATTGATGTGGCTGCGTCACTATAGTATACTGATACTAAGTCCTTTGTGTATAAACTGAGGAGTGTGATAGCTGGATCCAATGGTGGTTCCATTCCAAGTTTTCTGAGGAATCTCCATACTGCTTTCCAGAGTGGTTGCACCAATTTTCAGTCCCATCAGCAATGTACAAGTGTGCCTTTTCCCCCATATCCTCATCAACATTAATTGTTACTTGTGTTCTTCATAATTGCGTTCTGACTGGGGTAAGATGGAATCTCACTGTAGTTTTGATTTGCATTTCTGTAATTGCTAGAGATGTTGAACATTTTTTCATAGGAAACAATTAAGAATGTGAACAGAGAGCCTACAGAATAGGAAAAAAATCTTTGCTACCTGTACGTCAGATGGAGCATTAATCTCCATGGTATGCAAAGAACTCAAACAACATAACACCAAAAAAAAAATAATAACTCAGTTAATAAATGGGCAAAGAACTGAATAGGCACTTCACAGAACAAGAAACACAAGTGGTTGAAATTGAATTTCTGACCCTGCAAAAGGGAGGATCAGAGCTTTAATATGTACTTAGATTATCCTGTGTGTTAGTTTGGGTAGGTCCTTGATTATCTGTGCAGGAGATTGTGGTGGGATTGAAATTCCCATAAAGAAGAATAGAGAGGGAGCTGGAGGAGTGTGGGAAAGCTGTCAGACTATGATGTTAGGTGTGATGTCTGAAGAAGAGAGTGGAAGAAGGATGTTTAGGAAAATTCTTGAAATGCAGGTATAAGAAAGTTCCAGCAAGACCAATGGTGGGTTGTTGAGCTAAAGTCACCTTTTAGAAAAGTCCTGCAGGATCAGACTGATAAATAGTAGTCCTTGCTATTTGCCTCTGTCTCGGCCATTGTGTCTCTTTTGTTCATGTGCCCATAGTGCCTGGTCTGTGTTAGCCAGTGACAAAGGCCTATGCAGTTGACTGAATCATTTTGCCTTGTTGTTTTAAAACATGTGACAGAATTGAATCATACAGTTGTGAGGGCTTGATTAGGTAAGCCTGAAATTCATAAGGTCAGAGTTGACATTGTAGTCCTTAGGCAGAATTTTACCAGGAACAATTTTTACTGTTAAGGCTTTCAGCTGATTAGATGAGACCCACTCAGCTCATCAGGGGTAATCTTAAGATCGGTTGATGGTAGATATTAACCACATCTATAAAATATCTTTGCAGCAACACCTAGATTTAGTGTTTTGAACAACTGGGAGCTATAGCCAGCCTAAGACAAATTAACACAAACTAATCATCACAATTTACCATCTTGTCCAACCGTGGCGTTCAGTTTTAGACATTTCTACTTGGCTTTCCTCATTGGGACAGCTGTTCCTCGACAGGCAATGGAACCCTTGTGGGGCTTATTCCAACTACCAAGACGATTCCAGTTATATACTTGGGACTAGGAAATGACCACTGAGTAAATCAGTAGGCTCACTATGAGCCCTATTTGAGTCACTCAGAACTTAGTTGTTACTTGGCCTCAATAAATCCTCAGTTTAATGGGCACTGTGATGATGCTTCCAGTCTCTAGGTATCAGTCAACTTAGGTTCTCAGTGCACTGTTCATCAAAATGTTGGAATATTCTTTCCCCAGTGTACATACATTCAAGTAAGTGGCTATAGGTTCCTTTGGGGAAGTTTAGGGAAGTCATTGCATACCATTGTCCTCCCCAGGAACCCAGATACCTCTTTCCAGATCTGAACTGGGCTGAAGAAGTCTGGGAGTTGATTAAGAAATTATAAATTTTTATTTGAGGAAAAGTACTCAGGCTCCTGTTCTTCCACTCTTTTTCAGCCTCTAGATACTGAGTAACACCTTTGTTTGGCTGTTGGTATTGCTCTTGGGGATACCATGTTCCTTTAGCCATTTCCAGACTGCCTGAAAATAAAGCACTCCTGGCTACCCATCAGACCTTGTAGTTACAGTATTTGTGGCCTCCCTGAGTCTGGTGCTTAAGTGCATCTACCTACTCTATTCTTCTGGAGCCCCTTCATTCCCTTGGATGTTAGAGTCCACCTCTGAGGGTTTCCCTCTGTCCTCTTTGACTTGCAGCAGAGGCTACCACTGACCTTACGCATGCTGGTGCCCCTGTCACCAGTACATTCCTGATGGCCCTTGTTTTCTCTGACCCCTCTGTGGAGCACTGTCATCTGATGGGGTTTTTGATCACATAGTCCCTCCACTCCAGTATACCCTTTTCTTTTGACTTTTTCTTTCTGTGCTGTTTTCCAAGGCAGCTAAGGCCTCTATTTTTTTCAGCATTGGCCATTACTTTTACCAGCCTTCCAGGAGCCACCTAGAGGCTGCTTGCCCACTGTGGTCTTTGCCAGGGGGTTAAATCGTGAATCCTGAGAAAGTGCTTCCAAGTCTGAAATCTTGCTTTTCTGGCCTTCTTGATATAGCATCCTTGAAATCCAAACCTAGTGCTTTCTTGTTGGTGTGTGTCAGCTGATTCTAGTAGCTCGCTGGTATGTATGCTCTTCCTTAATAAGCCCAGTATTTCACAGCCAGGCTATGTTGGGATTAAACCCTACTCATCCACTTAATAATCAGGAGAGGCTGCATTCAGCTCCTCTGAGGGGTACATTAGTTCTAGGCTTTGGGAATTAGTTTGTAGCCTCTTCTGGTGCAGGGGAAGTGCTATATAATATGATATAGCACTAGAGAACATAGTTGTTGCAGGATCAGTACCCTCAGGGATGTCTGGTTAAGTGTTCCCATCCCATATTTCAAGGTGCTAGCACACCTGAAAGGCCATTCCCCTAGGCCATCTCCATAGAAATTGTTAGCAGTGGACTGCCACCCTATGTCATAGGTTATTCGTGCCCAATATCCCACTCACAACAGTGTCCAGAACCCCATCTTACCATGGCCTGTTTTCCTACTTCACTGGCACCAGTTGTGCTAGTTTGGCCTCTCTGAGAAGCAGATGTGAAGATGGGATTAGACATACAAGAGATTAAGGAAAACCGAAGGAAATGAGGAGGAAGCTGGGAAGAGCCTGGATGCAGGTCTAACCCTTGTGGATGAGATTGAAGTTAGGAGGGGTGATAGAAAGAGGCTTGAACTGTGGTTCTAAGACCTTTTCAGGCAAAGAAATGTGTCTGTTGGGAGAGGCTGTGTACCTAGACCCTGAGCACACCTTCATGTTCTTGTTGGCTGGCTTAGACTGCAAGCTTATCCATCTCCTAATACTGAACTATTGC